ACCAGATTCTTATCAAGTAATTTTGATACCATTTCTGGTGTTATATTTTCCGACTCTGCTTTTTGGTCACTTGTTTAAGTCATTCTATCAGGTTTCTTTGTGGAAGTTGAAATTGTCTATTTTCTCAGTGACATTGTGGCATCATATTTAGGTTTAGTTGATGATTTGATACTGGTATATTCTCAGGTACTGTCCACCTGTCTCTTGGTGGATATAGTGGAGACCAGAAGTGTGAATGAAGCTACTTCTCTGTTCATTGTTTGTGTAATGCAGTGCAGGGCAGGTTCACATGCCTCCAGAAGTTGGGGTACTATACCAGGTGCTAGACCCCAGACAGAGCAGAGGCTGCACAAGAGGAATGCCACTGGCTTCGGGGTTGGGGCAGGTGGCGACTGGCCTTACCCCCGCAACCAGGAGGGAACTGTAACAAGGGAGAATTGCATCCATTTGCCACCAACCTCCAACTGCGCCCTGGGCTCACGGGTCTCTGTATCAGACAGCAGCTTGTAAAAGCTCAGGATGGCCATGCCTCTCTAGGCCAACCTATAGTCTGCTTGGGTTTCTTCTCTCTCACAGCTCCTGTTCAGCTCCCTCTTCCAGTCGGCACTCGGTCCACCTCTCTGCCCTATCTTCTGATAGGCATCAGATTCCAGGATCACCATCTGTATCTGTTTCAGTCTGTCTCTCCTGTAGAGGGGTGGCTTAGTGCTACTGCTTACTCACCATCTTGCCCCAAACCTGTGATGACTTACCTTACTTTTTTTTTTTCCATTTGTCTTTACATGCTTTTGTTTTTATTTTAAAGCTTTTATTATGAATTGAGTGATAGCTTACATGGAAGAACATCAGTTTTGCACTCTCCTATCGTATTTTGTTTCATTGCAATGATTACAATCCTTTCCTTGCATCAATACTTTTTAAAGTAATTTGTATATGTAACTTTCTAAATGGATCTTTGGTTTCCTTCTGTTTCTGAGCTTACTCCAAAGAGCCTTTCTGCTTTTGCATCGGCAGTTTTTTTCCTGTTTTCATCTATTCTTTTGGCACAAAAAAAGAGACATCTTTCAGATTTCTAGGTAGTCTTTAAGATGTTTGACCTATGTATTTTGTGCCCATAAAACATTACTACTACCTATTTATGAAGATTCTTGTCACCTTTAAGTAGTTTTTATCATTTTAAATACTAGCAAAATATTAAGTTCAGTTCATTGTTGTTGTTAAGTGCTGTCAAGTCAATTCCGATGCATAACAACTCTGTATAAGGTTTCAGAGAAGTGACTGTTGGGTTAGAACAGCTGACTTTGCAATTAGCCACCCAGTGCTTCTCCTAGAGCACTACACCAGGACTCCAATATCTAAATGCAGTAGCAAGCTTTGTGAGATCAGCTCCACGGTCACATCTTTTGTTTGTTCAAGTAGAAAGCATACTTTTTTTTTTTTTTTTAAACTTTCTTGTGCATTCAGTGGCTTGCAGACAAGATGATCAGTTTTACATTCAACAGATCATACACTGTTTCATCTCAATGGCTGCAATCCCCTCCCTGCAACAACAGTTAAACAGTTATCCCACTTCCTCCCTGTGGTTTCTGTTTTCATGCCACCCACCCTCCCATCCCTTTACAACTTTGTAAGAAGGCATTTTGTTAACAAAACAAGTGGAAAGTTGTCACTGTACACTTTTATAATGGGATCTTTACAGGGCATCTTTACATGCTCTATGTTTAAAAGGAAACATTCTTGTATCAGTTGAGAGCATGACTTAAAATTGAGAGGTTCTGTTTGTCCTTAGTCTTACTGAGGAATAGTTGTATCCTCAAGAAAATGCTGATGTAGAAAAAGGATTCTTCATTGAGATGAAACAAAGGGTATGATTTGTTGAATGTAAAGCTGATTGATCTTGTCTGTAAATCATCACTCACTTCACAACAAAAAGTTAAAAAAAAAAAACAAGAAAAATATACAGAGTTTCAATCACACAGAGCATTTAAAAAAAAAAAAAAGGCATTTAAAATCCAGCAATGAAGTAGTGTGATGAAATAGATATATAAACTGGGCTCATGAAAAATGCTTTTGTTGTTATCACTAACTACAAGGTTATTTTTATAAAAAATAATAAATTTCTGCTGGGGAAAAAAAAAGATTCTTCATAGTGTGCCCTGAGTCAATGTAATTAGGAAGGTACATAGTTTGATAATTCTGGCACTTGAAAACAATGTTAATAAGAATGACTTTTAAATTGCTGAATGAAATAATAGGCGTGGAGTACATGATATTTCAGAAAGTAGTACTGGGTGGAAAGTTCTTGGTTGTTTTCCTTCGTTCACTTTTACATGCAGTTTTTAGGCATTGTACGTTGCTTTTCTATTCTGATAACTTGTGAATAGTTAAATTTACTTATTTATTCAAAATACCTTCTTATTGCCAATTGCATGAAGGTTTAAAGAGCAGATCTTCAGTTTTATATTGAGCAAATCATATACTTTGCTTCATTACAACGGTTGCAGTTCTGTTTCTGTGCCTGGTGTGGTGCTGTAGCTCATGCACTGGACTGCAAAGTCAGTTTGAACCGCAAGGTCGGCAGTTCAAGCTCACCAGCTGCTACTTGGAAACCCTATACAGGGTCGCTATGGGTCAAAACCGACTCGATGGCACTTAACAACAACAACCATCAGTTAACATTGCTTCCGTCTATTCACTCTATTGTATTCTTCCCTGTATATTTTTTTGTGAATGTGAACAAGGCTGTGTACAAAATATGAGGATGCTTTGGAATTATGTTTAGGGAAAATTCTTTATTAAATAACATCCCTTTATTGTCTTCTATAATGACCTCACGTAATTTTACTTAGGAGTCTTGGTGTGGCACTGTAGGATAATACGCTAGACCATAAGGTCAGTTTGAACTGCAAGATTGGCAGTTCAAGCCCACCAGCTACTTTTTAGGAAACCCTATAGAGGGTCGCTATCGGTCAGAACCAACTCAACAGCATTTAACAACAACAGTAACGATTTTACTTACATGCTTGCCTGCCTCCCTATCTTCTTAATATAGCTTGCCTTTTAAGGCTTCCTCTTGTCACTTTACATAGACGTTTCTGTGACTCTCACATTTCAGTTGACCCTACTGATGGGGAAACAGTACTGCTGAGAGGGTCTCTTCTCTTCCAGATAAGATACCAGGCTTGCTCCTCTTGTCTGAGCTTGAGTAAAATGCAAAACTCCGTGCTCTGTCACTGATAGGTTCTTACTTCCTAAATAGTAAATTGTAATCAAAAGAAGAAACTTCAGAACTTAATGATAACATCCTGTTATAATGCCCTCCCAAGTTTTAGCTTTCTGATATGTGGGTGTTTTTGTAAGGTTAGAAAATGTTGTTGCTGATAGGGAGTGCTTGTTTTTTGAGTTTTGAAGAGATTATTACAATGATGTCAGAAGAAACACTAAAGGAAAATGAGCCTTTAAATAACAGTGCTTACTCATAATCCAGACTCCTGGTGTGGTGTTATAGAATCAGCACTGAGCCTCTAACCATAAGGTTGGCAGTTCAAACCCACCAGCTGCTCCTTGGAAACCCTATATAGGGTCACTGTAAGTTAGAACCAACTCAACAGCACTTAACAACAACATACATACATATACATAGTCCACTATCAACACTTATGGAAGCAGCAGTCAAGAAATCAAACATATTGAATTAGGCAAATCTACTGCACAAGACCTCTTTAAAGTGTTCCAAAGCAAACAAAGATGTCAGTTTAAAAACTAAGCTGCGCCTGACCTAAACTGTGGTATTTTCAATAATATGAATGTGAAAGTTGGACAATAAATACGGAAGACCATAGAAGAATTCATACATTTAAGTTATGGTGTTGGAGAGGAATAGTAAAGTACCATGGACTGCCAGAAAAATAAACAACCTTGTACAGCCAGAATACTCCTTAGGAGGCAGGATGGCAAGACATCATCTCTCATACTTTGGAAATACTATCAGGAGAGACCAGATGTCTCTGGAGAAAGACATCATGCTTGGTAAAGTTAGAGGGTCAGAGAACAAGAGGAAGACCTGCAACAAGATGGACTATTGGGATGGGCCGTGTTTTGTTCTATAGTATGTAGGATTGCTGTGAGTCGGAATCGACTCGATGGCACCTAACAACAACATACATTCATCTAACGAACTGCAAAGTCAGCAGTTCAAATCACCAGCCTCACTGTGGAAGAAAGATGAGACTTTCTGATCCTGAAAAGATTTACAGCCTCGAAAATTCTTTAAAGGGTCACTGTGAGTAAGAATCTACTCCACAGTACTCCACAGCAACAATACATTAATCAGTGTGACTTGCACTATATAAACTTAGCCAGATGATTTACAATATCCAAGTTTTCATTCAGCTTTATATCCCAATTATAATGTTGTCATTAATTGTTGTACACATTTTTTCAGAAGATTTGTTTTACCTTCCTCGTAGAGTTAAATTTTAGTTCTGTAAACTAATTTCATTTCTTAGGTACATGTAATACGTTCCTTTTACTTACAAAATTTCACTTCTTAATTTGTACCTTATACTCATAAAATTCCACTTTTTACACACATGTTCTTGTAAACACATGCAAGTATACAATCTGTAGAAACACTTGTGTGTGTATACAAGAACGTGTGTAAAAAGATGCTAGTTGAAGTATTACATATCATAGTAATCAAAATAAATTGCAAATATTCCCAGCAAAATAAATTGCAGTATTCCCAGGAGAATAGGTAAATAAATTATAGATTGATTCTACTGGAGAAAATTTTGGAATGATTATTTTTTTAAAATAGGATATTCTCTGCACCCTTGATATATTACTAAGTACAAAATAAAAAGTTGTCAGGCAGTAATAGATACTAACTCACTTTGTTTATAAAGAAATAAACCTGTGAGTATTTGAATTGATAATTGGAAATAGTAAAAGTCGTGTTTGGATACTTGATACATTGCCCTTGTTTTTTTTTTAAACAGCTTTTGGAAATTAACTGGACAGGACTAACTAATCTTCTCGATATCCCTGGACTGAAGTAAGTATTATGTAATATTCTATAAGTTATCTCATTAATGATGTCATGTGCATTTTCATTGTCCTCAAAATAATTGAGAATGGTTAAGGCCTCTGTCAGTCAGGTAAAATCGGTGTTTTCTCAGCAGGTTCCAATATGAGACATGATTAAAAAAAGGTATAGTTGGGGTTTGTGCTCATAACCTTGTATGTTGTTGTTGTTGTTAAGTGCCATCGAGTCAGTTCCGACCCATAGCGACCCTGTACAGGGTTTCCAAGGGTGTAAATCTTTACGGGATTAGAAAGGCTCATCTTTCTCCCGCGGAGCGGCTGGTAGTTTTGAACCGCTGACCTTAAGGTTCGCAACCCGATTCGTAACCACTACGCTACCAGAGCTCCTTTCATAACCTTGTATAAAGCTATATAAATCTCAATGAGCTAAAATTGCGATGGTTTTAGGAATGCTTTAAACTGAGTCCTTTATCTTAGTTTTATATTTCATTTCTCAAGAGGCATCCTCCCAGTGCTTGTAGCTTAGAAAAATTACAGCCTTTTAACCTAATTTTTAAATTAGGTTTTGTTTACTTTTCCCAAAACCAATTGAAAACTTTAAAAGTAAATATACGCTTCAAAACTAACTTTTTTGGGTTCTTTTTGAGCTGTAGCTACACCCTTTTTTTCTGCCTTTCGTTACTTATTATCCATTCCTCTCTGAAAGGAATAGGTGTTAGTACTGGACCTAGCTAACTTGTGGTAGCTAGTTAGTGTGAGAGGTTAAGGAACTTGAAGGTTTTATATATCACTACAAGTCCCTTCATTATTCTGTAGTAATCTAGTATTTGAAACATGAGGGGGAAAATATTCATATAATAAGGGTTTGGGAACCCTGAGGGCACATTTGTCCCCTTCATTTGGGGACAAATGAAGTCATTCTAGTTGTGTCACAGGTCTTGTAGTTTCAAATCATGGATGGTAATTATTTAATACAAACCTATTACATTACTAAACAGGAAGCTCTGAGATTAGAGGATTTTAGACTTATTTTTACTGGTTTCGTTGTTTTATTTGAATGTTAAAATATATTACTGGTTAAAGTTATATGTTTCTAGTGAATATTTTGCTACTCTGTGTTCTTTTTCCTCTAGAGTAGCTTAGAAATTAAATTAAAGTTAAATTGGTTTCAGACTATTCTTTATTACTTTATTTCTTATGCCTCTGAAATGGCCAGTAGGAATAATTTTATTTTGTTCTGTTGTCAGGGAAAGATTAGGAATTTAATAAACTAATGCATAATCATATTATAAAAATGTTTTTTAGGGACTGTGATTTGCTGGATTTAGGAAAAAGCTTCTAAAAGCTCTTTAGAAGGAAAGGACAGTTTGCAAAGATTTATTCAAATGTTCATTTATTAAAGCAGTGAACTGATATTGCCTGAAATGGTTGAATTCATGATCATTTGAAAGTCAGTTCATCCACAAATCTAATAAATAATATTGTATTGTGTACTTACTATGAGCTTGACACTCTTCTTGCACTTGAGATGCAGCTTTGAACATACCAATCAAAAACCTACGTCCCGAGGAGCTTACACTCATGTAACAAAGAGTTTGGAGAGTTACTGAGGGATGACTTCAAGCATAGGTCGACACTGATGTCCACATCATGCCACAATAGGTTTATTACACATAATGATCCATATGATTTATTGACACTTCTAAATGGCTTCATTTCTTTCCAAGCAGGGATGTGCCTTTCAAGTTTCCAAATGCTTTTTGCATACATTTTTATTTTTCTCTATTAACTGTTGACTGGTCTTTTTCTGTGTGGCTTTGTTTCCCATAGGCTCTTGGTACGTAGTAGCTACTTCTAGCTTCTATTCTGTAAACTTAGCAATGTTGGTCAGAAAAGAACCTCTTCCCACTAGATCCAGCAAAAGTTCAGGATTGACTTTTATTTGTCCATCCAATGTCCTTCCTTGATCAGATTCCTATGACTAATGATCAGGTTTGGGTCTCAGGCCCACTGCAGAGAAGACTGAGAAATGGGTCATAAAGTCTGAGAATGGAAGGATTCCTTCCCCAAAGGAAAAACCCACTAGGAGTAGGGATGCTCCTTAGCCTGGCAAATACAACAGATACCTAGCTACTTAAATTAAATTTCCGTACCTTTAAATAAAGGAGCTCTGGTAGCGTAGTGGTTATGAATTGGGCTGCTAATCTCACGGTCAGCAGTTCGAAACTACCAGCTGTTACGTGGGAGAAAGATGAGGCTTTCTGTTCCTGTAAAGATTTACAGCCTCGGAAACCCTGTGCAGGGTCGCTATGAGTCAGAACCGACTCCACAGCACATAACAACAACAACAACCTTTAAATAATTAAGAGCCCTAAACTGAATGTTGAAAATGAAACAAGGAATATAGTTATGATACAAACAAAAATTGAAATGGTAATATTAAAACGTGGTAAGAGCAAGAGCTGCTGCTATACGTGAAAGTTTGGTCTGGAAAAAATATAATGAATGACGAAGAAAAGACAAAATAGGAAAAAGTGCCATTCCTATGTAATTAAGACAAGGGAAAATGTCTAAAGTGAGAAGAGTATGTCTACTGTGAAAGCTTTGAAGGACCACACCATACTCCTACTTAATTAGTGAGCTCTACATCCGAGCTTAACCCGTCTGGTTCTCTTTGGAATCAACAACAGCCTCGTTAACTGACCTGCTCATGGAAAGAGTAGTGGGTTCTTTGTTGTTTTTCAGTCTTTTCTAATTAACAACAAGTACAGGACCTGACTTCCTGTGCATAATCTGTCATTGACAGTGCGAATATTCAGTCTTTATTCCTTGAGTGACAATGAATCTCACTTGATACCAATGGACATTTTTTATATGGGCATTTTCTTTATGTTCATATTTTTTAATCTAAAAAGAACTAAGTTTCTTGGGAAAAAAATTGCAGTTGAGGTAAAGGTGTTACATATTGTAAAACTTGGATTTATGTATGCTTTCAAAACACATGACTTAGTTTTCACATTTAAAGAATAGACAAACATATATTAAAAGAGCATTTGTTTCTTTAGCTTAAGTCATTTTATCCCTATTACTGAGTTCACTATATATATATAGTAGTATATAGTCTATCAAGGAGCTCTGGTAGTATAGTGGTTACGAATCGGGCTGTGAACCTTAAGGTCAGCAGTTCAAAACTACCTGTTTCTGTTTACAGAAAGATGAGGCTTTCTGTACAGGGTCTCTATGAGTCGGAACCGACTCCATGGCATGTAACCACTACCACCATACACAGTCTATCAAAATTATTGCAGTAATCGATACCCAAAGTATTTTATAATATTTGAATAGAGTCAATTATAAATTCTTTTGCTTCATTGGGAGCTGTGTACAATAGAAAACTTAAGTATAATGGATAAATAGATATTTGTTATATCATTCACCATACTTTTATGTATATTTGACATGTTTTATTGAAAATCTAATGAACTGAACTTGAGTTATACAGTATTAAACCTATAATAAAGTTATTTAGGAAACCATGAAATATTATTAGGAAATTATGGAATATGACCTTGTATTCTAAGAATAAATTCTACATCATAGTCACCATAGCAATATAGCAGCTAAAATATTGATAGGCTCATGTAAAATATTGTGCTTAAGTAACCAGATAATTTCTTTACTGTAAGTGGGATGTTAGTATTATGTTTGTGATAAGTTTATTGTGAAAAGTGGTAGCAGGTATTGATTGATATGTCTTATAGTTGGTTTGTTCTTTTCACTTCCCAACTAACAGTGGTTTATCAGATACTATCATTTTGGATATAATATCAAACTATCTGGTGCTTCCCAATCGAATCACTGTTCCTCTTGTCAGTGAAGTTCAGATAGCCCAGTTACGGTTTCCTGTACCAAAGGTAAGCATGTCTTAAGATTTGTTGATACTGAAAAATAAGTATTAAGAACCTTTTTAAATGTTGGCATGTTGTTGTAGCGTCTTACACTTGTCGTAACAGTTAACTTGCTACATTTTTTCATAATGCAATAATAATAGTTTGTCCGACCTAGCTCCTTAAGAAATGTGCTCCGTGCATTCGAACCTAAAGGTTGTCATTGTGCCTTCTATATAGTTCTTATACTTCAGTCATATTCCTAGAAGATATTATTAGGGACTTCACTTAGCAAATGTTAACTGCGGGTCATAAATAGCACTGAGGATGGCATAGATAATTTAGTAATCATCTTAGAAAACATTCATTAATTGTATTTGTTTATGTAAAGTGTAACAACTCTGAGAGACAAGTGCCAGTTTTCCTGGGGATCATTTATGAGAACATTGTATGCTGATTTTTCGTTTTCTCCCAGATATTAGAATATGATTATCTTTCCATTCATTTAATACATAATGTCTTACAGGAAGCACTAACATTACCATAGTCCTTGATAAACTAGAGCGAGTTTAGGCTCGCTTCGGAGTCGGAACTAGATTTGAATCATGGCTCTGAGTCTAGTCGTTTTATTCTTTGGAGCATATTATTTTATTTGGCATGCCTGAGCCTCAGTTTCTTCATCTGTAAAATACTGATGACACCTAGTACACAGAGTTGGGTAATTGATAAGTCGGTAATAACTTGGTATAGTGGATAACAATAATAGTTTCAAAGATTAAAGTTAATGTTACTTGGTTTAATAGAGTAGAAACACTCTTCCTAGTAAAGAATGTTAAATTCCCTTTGCTAGGTCATTAAAGAGGTGATTGGAATGGATAATTTCTCATAGCTCGTTTTCCCTCTAAATTTAAGAATTATTGTTGTTAAGTGCCGTCAAGTCGATTCCGACCCATAGCAACCCTGTATAGGGTTTCCAAGGAGCAGTTGGTGAGCTTGAACCACCAACCTTGCAGTTCAAACGACTTGCAGTCTGATGCATTAGCCCATAGCACCACACCAGAACAATTCCCTTATCTGTTTAATGTATATCTGTCTGGTCTGTCTGGAATTTGGATTCCTCCTGTCATAAGATGTTGTTGTTGTTAAATGCCATTGAGTCGGTTCCGACTCATAGCAACGCTGTATAGGGTTTCCAGGAAGCAGCTGGTAGGTTTGAACTGCTGACCTTGTGGTTCGCAGTCCAGTGCTGATCCTCCAGTGCCACACCAGGAGTCCTCTATCATAAGACATATTAATTTAATGTGGTTGGCAGAAGAAGTAGCCTGTCATGGTATTGTTTACAATAAGGAGTAATATTGATGCATGCAAGGCAATGTGGTTTTACAAAAAGAGGTGTTAAGTTGATCCTAAATATTTGTGGTGTTTTTATTTTATTTTCTGGTGTAAATAGACAAATTTTCCATAATACCATTTTATTTTTTCTAGTTAAACTTCAATTAGACCTCAGTGGTACTGTAGGCAAACTATATAGTGTCACTGTAAATTGGTACTGACGCTAAGTACTCAAATCAACAAACATCCATAGTCATATATTTTTTAAGTACAACATTCTAGTCAATTTGATGTCCACATTTGTTACACTGTTCACATTCAGCAAATAAAAAGTGACACTGTATATTAGCAAGGAATGTTTTTATCTTTTTTAATTTATAGCTTTCATCTCTGAAAATCCAAGAACTCTTTTACATGTAGAAATCCACGAGTTACTTTGTCACAAAGCTTTTTTATGTTCTAAGCATGAGAGAACATTTATTTGTATACCTTAGAGTCCATTGTTGAGTATAGGGTTTCTTAGGAGCTGCTGGTGAGCTTGAACCATCGACCGTGCAGTTCAAACTGACTTTGAAGTCTAGCTCATTAACCTGCTGCACCTCACCAGAACTCACGAGCCTAAATCTACCCTTCTTAAATTCTGTGCGATTTAAAAGCCAGTGCCATTTAAATAAGGTCCCTAGATGGCACAATTTATATTGCTTGCTAGCAGAAAGGTTGGCAGTCTGAAGTCACATAGTGGTTCCTCAGAAAAAAAGACCTGGCAAATTGCTTTCATATTTATTTGCTGCCTTTTCTCCCTACTAGAATATATACTGCATGAGAAATGAATCTTATTTTGTTCATTATTTCACTGGTTCTTATAATAGTATTAGGCACCTAGATATCATTTTGTATTTGTTCAGCAAACTAATGAATTTTCTGTTTTTCTCTTCAGGGTGTTCTAAGGATACATTTTATTGAAGCTCAGGATCTTCAAGGGAAAGATACTTACCTTAAGGGACTTGTAAAGGGAAAGTCTGACCCCTATGGAATTATTCGAGTTGGCAACCAAATCTTCCAAAGTAAAGTTATCAAAGAAAATCTTAGCCCAAAGTGGAATGAAGTTTATGAGGTAACGTGTTGAATCCGTAACGTTACCTGGTTGAATAGGGTGGACACTAAACGGGGGTGTCTGGATTCTAGTTGCACTCGTAACACGTAGCATTTTGATTCATTTAAACTAATTTAAATTCTTCTAGCTTTAATTGACCATCTTTATGAGTTTTACCCAGATCTTTGACAAAGGAGCAACCATACTTCAGTGGTGAGAGGATTGTCTTTTTAACAAATAACGCTGAAATGACTGGACTCACACACATACACGTATGGAGACATCTTTTGGAAAAAATAACTCAGAATGGATCACAGGCCTAAGTGTTTGTTTGTGATCTTCTGGAAGATAGGAGATAAGAGAAAATCTAGGTGACCAGGTATTTGACAATGAGATTTTACATACGACAACAAAAACACAATCCATAAGAGAGAAGTGGTAAGTTAGAGATCATTAAAATTAAAAAACTTTTGTTTTATAAATGACAGTTATCAAAAGGCAGGGGAAAAAACACAAGCTAGGAGAAAATATGTGCAAAGCACAACTAATAACTTGTTTCCGCAACATACAGATAACACTTAAAACTCACCAAAAAGAACTCAAGCAACCCAGTCAAAAAGTAGGCAAGAGATCTGAACAGACAGCTCAGCAAAGAAGATGTACAAATGGCAAATAATCATATGAAAAGATGCTCAACATCAAATGTAATTTGGGAATTTCAAATTAAAGCAACGCTGAGACCCTACTGTTAGAGAGCACTTATTAGTGTGGCTAAAATTCACAACACTAAGAAATGCTGTTGAGAATATGGAGCAACAGAACTTCCATTCATTGCTGGTGTGGTCACTAGAAGACAGTCTGACAAGTTCTTACAAAACTAAACATACCCTTACATACACTCCAACAGTCACGACTCTAAGTACTTACCCAAATGAGTTAAAGACTTTTGTCCACATGAAAATCTGTTCACAATTGTTTTTAGCAGCTTTATTTATAATTGCCAAAACTTGGAGACAGCCAAGATGTCCTTCAGTAAGTGAATACATAAAGTGCGGTACATCCTAAAATGGTAGTAGTATTCTGTGATTAAAAGAAATAAGGGCATCAAGCCATGAAAAGTCATGGAGAAACCTTCAGTACATATTGCAAGTAAAATAAGCCAGGCTGGAAATGCTACCTCTGATATGATTCCAGCTGTATGAGGTGGATAAGGCAAAACTGTAGAGATCAGTGGATCAAGCGGAGGGGGAGGGGATACATGGGTTAAGCCTAAGGCATTTTCAGACCAGTAAAACTTCTGTTTGATACCATGATGGTGGGTATATGACATGATTTTTCAAAAAACTATCATTCCTTCTAGATATACCTTACAATAGTCTTGTGAGGGGCATGCAATGCCAATACAAAACCTTAAAGTGACTGGCAAAATATTTTTCAAAGTGTGAATGACTTACTGTCTTTTTCTAATTATAAAATGTAATATGGTTATTAACACATATGAACACATACAAAAGTGAGATCAGTTATATACTGTTTGTAAAGTTTTCATGTAATGTATTTGACAATGCTATGTGTCAAAAAATATATATCTATATAATTTTTAGTAACCATTCCATTGAATAAATTCCATACCATAATCTATTTGTCCAGAAAGGATTGAAGCGGTTTTCAGTTTAGTATTATAAACAATGAACCAGATGTAATGCGAATGTATTTTTCTTCACTTAACCAAATTTTCTTCAGATAAGATTTTCCATCTGGAATTGCCAGATCAAAAGTTAAGAAGACTTTAAATGACTTGGTATATTTTTGCAAAATGGCTCTTCAGAAACATTGTGCAATTTATGCTTCCACCAGCATCCCATTTTCCCCCGGCCCCACTCACTTGTCTATCCTATATATTACTCAATTTCTTAATCTCTGAGAAGTGGTAAAATGGGTTATTTCTGGTTACTCCAAAGACAGCAGGTTGTCAGTGTCCTAAATAGAATGACTGTTGGACAGACTATTGTGTTCTATCCCAGTCTTTGTCTAGCACCAGGCTTGTGGTTGATGCCCTGAGGCTGTGGTTTGGAGTGATTGAATTTGTCCCGTTGAAATGTCATCTCAGTAGACATGGAAAGCAAACACAGTGCACTGTTAATATATAGGCACGAATTTTAAAATCATCTTCGTCATTAAGAAATATATATGTGGTTTGATTCTTTAAAAAAAGAACTTGAAAGACTATGTGCCACTAGAAAAAAAACAAAGAACAGAGAAAAAGTATTTGCTACTGAAGGAAAAAATACATGTTAATATTTAAAATCTTCATTGTATGTAATAAATGACTAAATTAGTAAAAATGCAAAGTAATTACTAGTCATTGATTTTTCAGGCTTTAGTTTATGAGCATCCTGGGCAAGAATTAGAAATTGAGCTCTTTGATGAAGATCCAGATAAGGATGACTTCCTAGGAAGGTAAATCCTTTATGAATGCTTGAAAACAACTTATAAATCACTCTCTTTTGTTTTTTAATGATCATTCTTAAAACTGTCAGGTAACTTTAAAAATATATTCATATACACGTGCTTCATGTTAGGGTATTTTAAACACCCTTTATTCCTTACAGGTTTCCCATTAAAGTAAGAAAAAGAGAGCTTCTAGATTACACTCTAAACTGTGGTGGCCCCTGGCCACATGTAGCTGTTTAAATTAAATTAATTAATAAGAATGAAATAAAATGAATAATTCATTCCCTCAGTTGCACAACCCGCATTTCAGGTGCTCGGTGTTCACATCTGGCTAGCGGATACCATATTGATAGTGCTTATTTAGAACATTTTCATCCTCACAGAGACTTATATTGGACAGCTCTGTCGTATACTGTCAAAATGGGCTTTCAACTTTTGATGTAAAGATCATTTTATCTTTAAAAAAAAAAAAAAGAAGATCACTTATCTTTGAGTTGCTTAAATTTGTTTAGATTGAGTGATGTACATTCTGCTTATACAGTGAGAAAATAAAGTTTAATTTGTTTACTTTAATCGAACAGCTAAAATAGATGAAGAATTAGATTTTTAAAAATGGGTTTCTGCCTAGTATTTGTTATTTAACTGAATTTAATTATTATTTAACTGACTTGATTGTGATCAAAAAAAGATAACATGAAAAATGGCATTCGAGAGGTTTGGGCCTCATCAGGAATGGCCTCTTGTATGCGTAAGGCAATTTAACAAGGAGAAACAGAAAGATTTTAAGCAGAGTAGTGATAGGATTTTATTTGCCTTCTTGTAAGACCAAGGAGTAGGTTGGATTTTCAGAGATTGAAGACCAGGAGACCAATTAGGAAGTTCTTGTGACAAATAAGGATGGAAATCATGAGGCTCTAAACTGAGACATAAATAGCAGGAACCTAGGAAGGGGGGTGGCTGCAAGAAAAAAAGAAGGAGTATAATCATCTCATCTTATTCAAGGGAAGAGGGAGGGAAAAAATTGAGGATGAATTGCAAGTTTCTAGCTTCTGTGGGGGTGGTACTATTCTTTGAAACAGTATCTGGGAAGCAGGCTTTTAAAAGAGAAATGCAGTGGGCTTACATTTAGACATGCTGCATGAGAGTGTTCCTTAGGGCGTCCAGGTGCAATGGGAAGTTGGCGCTCAGGAGCAAGGCCAGGAACAGAGGTCAAAATGGTAATTCGGTGTATACAAATGACTTATTTTCTGGCAAGGGATGATATTACCAAGGGAAACCCTGGGAAATATGAGGGTTAAAATATTTTAGAACATGGTTGGCGCATTGTTCATAGCTACATTGTGGGAAAGGTTAGCTCCTTTACAGCTCTAACCTCAGCTGGGCCAAGCTGAAATCTCTATTCTCACAGAAGCTCATTCCATCTCTTTTGCTCACCTCTCTTTACTCTCTTTAGTGTAAACTTTTGCAAGAACAGTGTTTCTTGATTAACTATGTAGCAGTTTATTGCATTTCTGGAGTACTTTTCCATAGACCAAAAAAACAACAAACACCTTAAGGTAGTTTCAGATGTAAGTGTGCTTCTGTCTTCTAAAATTGTTGTATTGTTATTTCTCTAGTCTTATGATTGATCTTATAGAAGTTGAAAAGGAGCGCCTTTTAGATGAAGTAAGTTTTGTTTAAATATTGTATTTAATAAACATTGACAGAATATCTACTATGTGCCTGAGGAAGCTGTAATTGTTGCCCTACTTATACAACACAAGAATTCTACGTAATATAAACTTAACATTTGCTTCACAAATGTTAGAAATTTAGGCCTTTTTGTATTAGCAAAGTGAAAGAAATTTAAGAATCAGATCAAATAGTGCTCCACAGTATGAGCACTGGACTACGCACTACAAGGTTGCCAGTTCAAGCCTACCTCCCACTCCTCAGGAGAAAGATGGGGTTTCCTGCTTACGCAAAGATTTACAGCTTCAGAAACCCTATACAAGGCTGCTATGAGTCAGAATCAACTCGACAACACTTAACTATAACAACCATATGCTAGATCACTTTAAGGATCCAAAACTTAAAACTATAATTTTATTTTGGACAGATGTGTGCTCTTCCTTCAGAGAAGTTAAAATGTGCAAAGCTAATTAATAACAGAAATTTGAAACATAGTGGGAGTTAACAGCCAAGATGTCATAGTCCAGTATGTGAGAAATCATTACATAAAAAATACGTAAAAGTACATTGGGAATTTAGGGAAGAAAAGACTACTTGAAACAGAGATATTGCTATCATTGCAGAGAATATAATAAAGAAAAATGTCATTGTGGCTTCTAGAAGATCAATAGAGTTTGGATAAGTGCAGCAGATCAATGTTGACGACACTCTAGTGCTTTGAAAGTACCCTCTCTCATCCCCACACTTACTCAGCAGTCATTCTTGTGTGCTAGACCCTGAATGCATGCTGTTAAACAGGGTAGATAAGATCCTTGCCTTCATGGCTTTCTCTTCTTATCACTGAATGCTTGAACATCATCATTGATTAACGGCTGAAATAACTGTATTGTTGTTAAGTGCCATCCAGTCAGTTCTGACCCACAGTGACCCTGTCTAGGGTTTCTGAGGAATAACTGGTGAGCTTGAACTGTCGGCCTTGTGGTTCAAACTGACTTTGAAGTCCAGAGTATTAACAACCCACAGCGCCACACCATATATAGTTCTATTAATTTAGAGTCCTGGAGTGGTGCTGTAGGATAAGCACAGGACTGCAAGGTCATTTTGAACCACAAGGTCGATGGTTCAAACTCACCAGTGTCTTCTTGGAAACCTTATACTGGGTAGCTGTGGGTCTGAACTGAATCAACAACACTTAACAAAAACACTTCCATTAATTTGGAGTCCTGATGTAGCACTCTAGGATAATCACTGAAGTGCTAACTATAAGGTCGATGGTTCAAACCACCAGCTGCTACTCCTAAACTCTATACAGGGTTGCTATGAGATGGAACCAACTCAACAGTACATAGCAACAACAACAACAAAATTCTATTCATGGGTACATGAGGATGAATAAATACAATATGTTAACTTATCTGGCATTGAAATTCAATATTTGGGATCAATGTAATTTTCCTTTTCCTATAAATTCCATTAAAGCCCAGGTATGTATAGGTAACAGACAGTATTAGAAAACTCTTGAAATTTTCAAATAGTCCACATTCCCTATCTTTATACTAGGAGTAACAATAGTACTTACCACCTAGGATTATTGTTAGGATTAAATGAGTTGATATCTGAAAAGCATTTACAGTCATTTCCAGCAAGCAGGAAGTGCTGTATAAGGGCTAGCTGCTGTCAACTTGCACTATTTTCAAGCATGAAGTCACCAGGCATTTAAAGAGTACCAAGAAACCTCAAAAAGTTCATGGAGAAATTCCATTATCTTTGTATTTCATTTTTCCATAAACTTTTTGAAGCCCCTTCCTTTACTCTGAATATGACAACAGTCTTCCTTTATCATTAATTGAGAACAGTTGCTTTTTCACAGTTAGTGAGCTCTGTCTGACATTTGGAGAAACCGAGTTTCATTTGAATTTTGGATTCAGGAGAACTTTTGCTGAATTTAAACATGATTTTCTTTTCAGTGGTTCACTCTGGACGAGGTTCCCAAAGGAAAGCTTCACTTGAAACTGGAATGGCTCACCTTAATGCCACATGCTTCAAATCTCAGTAAGGTACTATGACCTGTTTCTTCTCTTGATAGCCAAACCATTCACTCCTACCAATTAAGATCAGTCTCTGAAACTGTGTTGTTACTTGGTAACAACCACCACCAAAACTCCAACCATCATTTTGAATATTGTTCTATAAGTGCTACAGTAACATCAGGGATAAATTTTAAATAAAGGTGTTTGTTTTGTTTTTTTTTTTTAAAGCAATGTGTACAGCATGCATATCTTATTTACAGCGTCTTCAGGGTTTTGTGTTTGATAGATGACAGGAATTTGGAGAACCACAAATCACCTGTGTGCTTCACTTAATTGATTTGTATTGAAAATAGTCTAATTTAAAAGATATATAGTTTTAGTTGTCTCCTAATATTGCATAATGTAAAGCTGTATTTCTCTACCTTTCTCGTTTTCTTGAACATAGTAGACAATGAGATGGGAATAGTCCAACTCTTTCAGAAACATGCCTATTGAGATTTTTCTCCCCTTCCACCCCCATGACTTTTTAGGTGCTGACAGATATCAAAGCTGACAAAGACCAAGCCAATGATGGTCTTTCCTCTGCATTGCTTATCTTATATTTAGATTCAGCAAGGAATCTTCCAGTAAGTAATACAGTGGTAACCCATTTTGAGTGCTTATTTCCTTCTAGCAAATCTTGCTTGAAAACCACTGCTTTGTTCAGCCATATGGTATCAGCTGTTCTTGTCTTGCTTGTGTTTTCATGTTCATTTCCAGTCTAAGTAGCAATGTAGAGATTATAAATTTGTATTTGTGTCCCAAGTATATTTTTATGTTTATAAATTTTAATGCATTTATCTAGGATTTCTAGAATTACCTTTATTCCAATAAGTTTTATGACAAATCTCCAATATGCAGGAACAGAAAAGCAATTAGGAGAAGATATTCTGGAGAAACTTAGTATTAAAAATGAGTTACCAGAAGATGGAAATTTTATCTTTTGAGGATGGGAATAAAAAATTACACAGATTTGATTATAAGCCCAAAATTCATTCTAGCTGTGCAATGGCCACAGGTGAGTTTCTGGTGCAGAGTATAATGTAGATGAAGGGGAGGATATGAAGAGGAAGAACAAGGCTGCTCTATGATTGTTTTGAGCCTGTTTAAAGCAGATCAAAAAGGTAAAGAAAAAACAACACTATCTCTGAACAGTCTACCAGCAGACATGACTTTCTGTAGCTTAAAAGAATATGCTTTTAGTTGTCTCCATCACAATTACTTTGCTCTTAGAAAACCCACGTACCATTTTTAGAATAGTTATTACCATAACCATGAAGAATACAAATCATTAATTCAACCATATGGAGCATAGTGTGATCTTCTACTGCAATACTTAAAACCACACCATTTAGGGTAGTGTTATCATCATTATAACTTTTCAATACCATTTGTAGTGAATATCTACTTGTTGAAATAGGTGGCCATTCCTGCATTATTTCATTGTGTGAATGGCCAATTTTGTTGAAAGACTACTGCCACCAGATAGTCTTTTTTCTTTTTTCTCTCCCAAGATTGTCCATTGAAAAATTCTTCGTGCGTAGTTAAACTATTACTCATTCAAGTGCATTTTTTTTACCTGATGAAATAGACAAGTGAGCAAAGAAGCAGTTAACATTAACTCCATCCTTTATAATGCAAGTACAGTGAGGTCTCTGAGAGCCAGAACTCAATGGATGGCTTTGTTTTTCTAGGTCTTACAATTTTCTGCCTTTGACAGGGTACAGGTTTTGCCACTTTTGTATCTCTTGCTTTAGTGGAAATTACTGGTGTTTTACTTTTCTGACAGGTTTTCACCATACGCAGGTTCTGGGGTACACAACTTTTACTGTGCTACATCTTAGATTCTAAATTGATTGTTTAATCTTGGACACTAAGTAATTATTATAAAATCACCCCACCTTAGCATAGGAAACATTAAACTGTTTCCTTATGTCCCATGAAATATATATTTTTAAATTTTCCTTTATCATCTTACAAGTTTTAAAAACTGCACATTATTTGGGCTTTGATGGAAACCTGGGCATATGAAATTAAATAAATGTACTTTGTACATCTGTGCCTGTTATTTAAAGATACTAACAATTTAATTCTGCTTCATCATTTAATTTCTTCTTGCTGACAGGAAGCAATGTTGTATGTAATTGTACTATTTCCTTCAGTGAGGTTTTGTTTACTCATGGTAACTTCTTAAATTCTTGCAATTCTCGTAAAGTGTAAGTTTATCTTTGGTAACTTCAATTGATATAGTGAAATGGCTTCATTATGATTTAACCTTTTCTACAGAGTACTTTGTATTGTACAACTTTTTTATTTTAACTACAAAAATGTTTGCTATAAAGTCTTCTATAATGCCAGATATAAGTGAATTTGTTGTATATTTTAGGATATAGAGAATAGTACTGGTGAGTTGACAAGAAAGGATTAGACCTGTCTTTACAACTGTATGTTTTTCACATTAAATTGAAACTTGAAAAATGTCACATAAGCAAAAGAAAGAATTTCTTAACTTCGTTACTAAAAGAACACTTTGTGCATGAAGTATGTTATGACTATCAGAGGCAAAGAATCTTTGCAAAACCACTGCCTGTTGGGTGTTTACTTTTAAAACGGGAACACTTGCTAACTGATTGTCACTGTGAGTTATTGTGGAATTCTTTGACTCTACCTTTGCACTCCTATTTAGTAGTGTTTTTTTGTGCATTCATTTACCACAACCCATCATTCTTTGCTTTCTCCTTCCGTTTTCACTTTCCTAAGAGTATCTACGAGGGAAACTTTGGGTGTGGCTACTTAAAAGAGAGGAGAGCATCGGGACTAGTATTTTGTGAAAACACTACCTCAGTCTATAGAGCACTATTTGTGAGTTCTCCAGTGTTCTTTCTTTCTTTCTGTTTTTAATGGAGACTGCCAGAATGTGGACTCGAACCTCTAATGCAATCTACTCGATGATGGAATGACTTGGCATGCTTGTTTTCATTTCCTTGCATGATTTCAGTCACTGTGTGTTTCTTTTGTGCTTGTTTTTGAAAATCTAACACTCCTGTATCATTGGTGACTATGTCTGATGGTGAGATGAACAAATCTAGTGAGTGAGTCATTATGGAGAAGCCGTAGATCCCTAAACTAAACTGCTACTACCCCGTGTGAAAATAAAAACATCAATAAAATGATTTGGAGGAAAAAATGAAGCCGCAATGGCTAGAGTTTTTTTTTTTTGTGTGTGTGTGGTTCATCTCAATGTGAGATGTAAATATTTCTCTATAAGCATTCAAAGTCGCCTTCTTAAATTCTACTTCTTCTGACAAAAACCAGAAGGGTCAGGGCTCAGGCAGCAGCTCTGTGCTTGGCACATGATAGGTTTCTTTTTTAAAGCCTTCTGTGCAGGCATACTCTCCTGTCATCACTAGAGATAGTCACATGAATAGAGGAAATCCACCCTTTTTAAAATTTTGCCTGGAAAATTAGCCTTTTCCCTGATCATAGAGCTTCTTTTAAGGAACTTGAGTTTTTCCTGGAGGATAATTGAGCATGTTTTAAACCTTCCTTTGAGAGCTAATTTTTATCTCATTGCCTCTGTTTTCCTATAGTTTTTTATCCTCTGGCACGTTGATAAGTTATAGCTCTTGATGCTTTTAGCATATAGTTATTTTCACTTGCATTGAATTCAGAGAAGGCCACAAATAATTTAGTATGGTTAGGCTAGAAAGCCACCCTTCAGGTTTAATTCAGTTATTAATGAGGGATTCATAAAGATAATTTGGCCCTTGAGTCTAATGTTGCTGTTGTTAAGTGCCATCGAGTTGGTTTCGATTCATAGTGACCCTGTATAGGGTTTACAAAGAGCAGCGGTGTGTTTGCACCACTAGTCTTGTGGTTAGCAGTCCAGTGCCACACTGGGATCCCTTGATTCTAATATGGGATTTCAAATGGTTCATTCTGGTTCAACCCTCTGTTGAGAATTTGTATTTTCACCCCAGAAATACTGAATTCAGAATCTGCGTTTTAACAAGATTCCCAGGTGTATTCAGTATCTGGGTGGAACCGAACTGAACTGGTTCTCAAAGCTCTGGTCTAGACAGGAGAGTTCTCTGCGTTTTTGTAGATCTTTCCATTCTGTTTCCTGATGAGCATTCCCACATGTATTCTTAATTTACTTTTATTCCAAAATGGCTAAGGACAAAGCTGGAAGAATAGGTATTTCACCCCATTTTGTTGTTGTTGTTGTTGTTGTTAAGTGCCATCGAGTCGGTTCCGACCCATAGCGACCCTGTACAGGGTTTCCGAGGGTGTAAATCCTTACGGGAGTAGAAAGCCTCATCTTTCTACCGCGAAGCGGCTGGTAGTTTCAAACCGCTGACCTTAAGGTTCGCAGCCCGATTCGTAACCACTACGCTACCAGAGCCACCCCATTTTATAGATGAGAAAAATCAAGACTTTAGAGGTTTGGGTGAGCTGTTCAGAATCACACCAGTAGTAAGCAATAGTCATTGTCTTGTGACTCTTCCTACTTACACCTAGTTAAGGCCCTTTTAAAGGTCAAAATGAAGTCAGTAGCCCATAATGACCGATGTTTTCTATCACTTTTTCTACCTCGGGTATTTTTTTACTGACAACTTCCATCATAAACTGGTCAAAATGGCCCTATAATTTTGTTGAATAAATCCTCTTTATCTGTCTCCAATCATTTTTCTAAGTTTCTTTTTCCTATCATTCAATTACTTCACTTAAAAGAAACAATCTCTGACCTTGTGTCATGGTTTTATTTTCAAAGTTTCGTAATCACGACCTACAGCATTGCTGGATTATAAAAATTAATTTTTCTGTTACATTGTCCAAATAGGATACTTTTTATTATTAGATTTTATTATTAGAATATATGCATCACACAAAATGTTCTGTAAAATAAATTAGAACAAATTGATAGTGCTTTTTTCACCCATTCATTTTCAGTATGGAATATGAAGGGGATAGATCAGTGTTGGGTGAATTTTCCCCAAAGGACTGAGGTAATTGCTGTGTCTGGTAAAAGTTTTAGATGACTGCCTGCCCATTGCGCTCTTACTTTCTAACTTCACAAAAATGCTTTAAATTTTCAACTGTATGAGTGCTTTAGCACCAGTGATCCCCTAAAAAGTCTGAATTTCACCCAGACTGGAAATTCTATCTTTATAATTTATACTCTTCAGACCTTTGCTCTCCTTTTTTTTGATCAAATTCACCCTTAAACAATACTGTTCTGTGATTCATAGTGGCCGGCTTCAGAATCGCAGTCTTCTATAAATAATCTTGACGGTGTTGTTGTTAAGTACTGTAGAGTTGGTTCCAACTCATAGCAGTGCTTTATAGGGTTTCCAGTGCTGTAAATCTTTGTGGAAGCCTCCTCTTTCTCCCTTGATGAAACGGATGGTGGGCCCACACTGCTGGCCTTGATAGCTAACAGTTACTGAGCACTTTCCCTAAACAGAGTTCTAAGGGTACTACATGTGTTAATCCATCTAATCCCTAGAACATCATAGATAAGGAAACTGAGACAGGGAGCTTAAGTAACTGTTTAGAGATCCAAGGTCACATGGTTAGTGAGTAG